GTCTGGGTACCTCCATGGGCTGTGTCGGTCCCAAGTCCGTCATTGAGGTCCGTGAGGGCATGTCCTTTTTGGATCTGTCCGTCCGCCAGATCGAGCACCTCAACCGCACCTTTAACGTCAACGTGCCCTTCGTCCTGATGAACTCCTTCAACACCGACCAGGACACCCAGTCGATCATCAAGAAGTACCAGGGCCACAACGTCGACATCATCACCTTCAACCAGTCCCGTTACCCCCGTATCATCAAGGACTCTCTCCTCCCCGCCCCCAAGTCCTTCGACGCCCCCCTGCAGGACTGGTACCCTCCCGGTCACGGTGACGTTTTCGAGTCCCTGTACAACTCCGGTACCCTGGACAAGCTCCTCGAGCGTGGTGTCGAGTACATCTTCCTGTCCAACGCCGACAACCTGGGTGCTGTCGTCGATCTCCGCATTCTTCAGCACATGGTTGACACCCAGGCTGAGTACATCATGGAGTTGACCGACAAGACCAAGGCTGACGTCAAGGGTGGTACCATCATTGACTACGAGGGCAAGGCCCGTCTGCTCGAAATTGCTCAGGTCCCCAAGGAGCACGTCAACGAGTTCAAGTCCATCAAGAAGTTCAAGTACTTCAACACCAACAACATCTGGATGAGCCTCCGTGCCATCAAGCGTGTGGTGGAGGAGAATGAGCTGGAGATGGAGATCATCGCCAACGAGAAGTCCATCCCTGCTGACAAGAAGGGTGAGGCCGACCAGGCCATCTACCAGCTGGAGACCGCCGTTGGTGCTGCCATCCGCCACTTCAAGAACGGACACGGTGTCAACGTTCCCCGTCGCCGCTTCCTGCCCGTCAAGACCTGCTCCGACCTGATGCTGGTCAAGTCTGACCTGTACCGCCTGGAGCACGGTCAGCTTGTCATGGACCCCAACCGTTTCGGTGGCGTCCCCGTCATCAAGCTCGGTTCCGACTTCAAGAAGGTCTCTGACTTCCAGAAGCACATCCCCAGCATCCCTCGCATTGTCGAGCTGGACCACCTCACCATCACCGGTGCCGTCAACCTGGGCCGCAACGTGCAGCTCAAGGGAACTGTCATCATTGTGGCCACGGAAGGCAGCACCATTGACATCCCTCCGGGTTCCGTGCTTGAGAACTGCGTTGTGCAGGGATCCCTGCGCATCCTGGAACACTAGATTGGTGCATCCATGGGCGGCCGCTTAATTCCTACTTCCGAAAAAGGTCGTCGTTGCCCCTTTGTCTCATCTGGGATGATACCGAGGCACGAATTGGCTAGGTGGGCTTGATAGAATTTCTGTTTGAGCGGAGTCACTTGTCTTCTTCTTCGCCGAGGCCATTTATTCTGGTCGTTTAGTGTTCTTTAATTGGAAGCATTCTGCGCCCTCTTCTCTCTCCTGGACGCCGGAATGCTGGGTCAAAAAGGGTTTCTCAGGAGGAAAAAAGCTGCAGAGTGTGGGGGCCAGCGTTTAGCTAGGAGATATCACCGTACGTAATGTCCAATTCATACCATTCACCTTTGGATCTTTGTATCATATGAGAATTTGCATGAGTCGTAGGAGTAGATGTTGATTGTCATGCGTGGCTGGAATATCACGTGCAAATGGCTCTCTGTATCCGCCGGAACGGGCTTCCGCTGCCTTGTTTCTGTGCCATCTATTGTCCCCTGCAACTTGCTTCGGCGGAAATCTAGCTCCATGTTGGCTTCTCACTGGGTTGGCTTGTTTCAGTCGCGATCATCGCAGCTGCAACGTTCATAGTTTTCCATTCTGATGGACGGCCATCAGAACGGTTGCGGTCCCGGCCGCCGTCCAAGGCCTCGCCCCGTGTTCTACAACTGCTCGGACATGGTTTCCTGACGCCTCTAACGTAGGTGGTGTCCGTTTAATCTACGTCATAAGAAGGTAAATAATTTGCAGAATAACAATGGTAAGGGGGCATGTGCCTGCTCGACGGGCCTTTTCTCCCCTGTCCTCCAACTATATTGGTTCGCCACTCCGTGTTGTGGATGTTTGGCCAATACAGACTCTTTCTATCTAATCATTCCCACCCCCACACTCCCTCTCAGGGGAAACACTTAATGACGTTCCACTGCTTTCATCTCTATGAACATGCAACATGACTGAATTCGGCAGTCAACAACACCGTCAGCTGGCGCCGGGTCCGTCGCCCACCAAGTCGGACAAGTTTCCACCGGGTGATAGCCCCCCTGGGGATAGCTTTCGGACCGCTTCGGATGTGTCGAAGAAACGCGTGTCTATGGCTTGCTTGGCTTGTAAGAAGTCCAAACGGAAGGTAGGTCTTTCTTACGAACAAACTGGGTGAAAGTGGCGAGCAGCCGTCTGGCATTGTATCTAATTCACCCTGACAGTGCTCTGGAACAGCACCATGTGACAACTGTCGTGCGTTCAACCGACAGTGCATTTTCGATGAGACGCTCGACCAGCGTCGAAGAGTAGCAGCAAAGCGTACGGCTGATGAGCTGAGCTATCACCGAGATATGCTGAACGATCTCTTGAAGGTGATGCGTGCAGAAGATCAGTCACATGCTCTGAAACTACTGGAATTCATCCGGAAGGATGCCACGGCCGAAGAAATTCGTACGTATATCGACGATACTCTAGGCCGGATTGAGGGATGCAGCAAGGTGAGTGACGCGGCGGAAAGGCAGCTACAGCAGGTTAGACAGGTGATCGATGTCGAAGGAGCTGGGCCGTCGTTCCGTCCCAAGGTTATGGATATCCATTACTTATGCAACGAAGTCCCTCACAGGGTCCCCGCAGAGCCCTGGACCACCGTAACCGGCGATGCTGATCTCGTCTCTCATCTCGTCTCTCTCTACTTCACATGGGACTATCCCTTTCATGCCTTTCTCGACCGCGATGTCTTCCTCAAGCATATGCGGAAGGGTAACACCAATTCGGAGTTTTGCAGTCCATTCCTTGTGAACGCTCTGCTCACCAACGCTTGCGTAGGTCTTCTAATCTCTTGTTTATGAATCTATCACATCTAGTCATCCAACCGGGTGTGTATACTGGTCTTCTTCAGTGGAGGGTCTTTGGAATGTCAGCTAAATGTCGGTTTACAGCACTTTTCAGATTACTCGGAAGCCTATGTCGAACCCGGGGATATTATGACCAAAGGGGCCGATTTCCTCGCGGAAGCGGAGCGTTTGAGAGAGGAAGGGCCTATGAAGCTGAGTCTGGCTAATCTGCAAGGCACGCTGTTGCTGCATGAGAGGTATGCAATATCGGGTGAAGACGATCTTGGCTATCGTATGCTCCATCAAGCCATCTGGACGGGCGAATCTCTGGGTCTCATCGGACCAAGGAAATTTAGCCTGAATCCGGGTCAGATCTCTGATGATATGGATATTTCGATCAAGCGGACGGCTTGGGGTTTGTTTCATATTGACACGTGAGCTAGCCAAACCTGCTATGTCTCAGGGATGAAGCCACTGACAGTAATCCCGACAGTGTCGTGCATGCCGATTTTCTGCGGCCCAGCCTTATTGACAAGGTCAACCTCGAACGGCCCAATCGGTATAGCGCCGAAGACTCGAGCTTGTGGTACCCTTACCCCTCTCATCAATCTGCTCGGCCGTCCTACTTGAGCTACTACTTTAACGAATCATGCAACCTGTGTGAAATTGCACGAGACATATCACAGCGGCTCTTTGGGATCGACGCCAACGCTGCTTCTGCCGAGCACCTACGTCAGATGCAGGAAACCCTGTATGAAAGGCTGCGTGGCTGGTATAGTAAGCTGCCGGATATCTTCGATCCGTATCATAGGCCACCACCGTACATCATATTGTTGAGGTAAGGACTCTACATACATTTTTAGCCTCTGTGGATTTTTAGATGTTCTGTGGCAGCTACAGATAATGGCAAGGTGCTGACAGGAGCAGAATGCGCTACCATACGTTGGTGATCAACATCTTCACCTTCAGGACTGAGCGACCCAGGAATACTCCCGACTCCGAGGCACCAAAAACACCCGAGAGCCCACCGGGACTAAGCCCCCTGCCCAAGTATAATACCGTAGGCATCGTACAATCTGCAGCGCGCGCAATAGCTGCCCTGACGGTTCTTCACCGACGAGAATATGGCATCAGTCGTGCTCATCATTTTGCCATGTATGCAATCAACCTGGCACTCTTCACGTTGCTGGAGTCTGGGACGTTCGATGTCTTAGACCCTGACTTTCTTGCGCTTGCCAGCTCTTTCTCCAATATTGCCAGTCGGTCGCCGTTGGGACGGTCTCTCCTCCACATCTTCCGGCAGGCTGTTCATGCCAAAGGGCAAGGCAGGCGGCTGCGAGAATCGAATGCGGTCTCGGATGATCTCAAGGCGATGTTTGACGAAGAATCTACATCGGCATCCCGGTGGGATGAGTATGCCGCAGGATTACAAAAGCTGGAGACGGACGAACGCTACCGCAGAGTCTGGGATGGGGAGTTCAGTCTTTTCGACATGCTCGATCGATATGAGAGTCTGAGCTTGGGCAAAGATGAAATTGCGCCTGAGCGGCTGCGCTGTTGATGGGGGTCGTCCCCAGCTCGAATTCGGAGATTGATTTTGTTCCTTTCACATGGCAATTACGAGGCGTACCGCGACATCTTACTTTTTCAGTTTATGCTTTTTTCTTTTTGGGCTTCCGTGGACCAGCTATGATTTCCGCGGGAGAGAGGCGCTCGGGCGTACGCTGTGCTGCGAGCAGATAATTTCCTATAATACATCAACGAGAGTTGACTTATCGCATGAACTTCCGTTCTCCCCGAACTTTGGTCCGTGGAAAGTTTGTTACTCAGTGGTTTCCACTTTACATTTGCCTTGATCGTGCAGCAATTGAAGAGGACAAGCTTCAGGTCAATGACGTCACAACAGGTGACTTGCGACCTTCGCCCCTGATTTTCTGGCTGCTGAACCAACTTCTCTGCGACTTCTGTTTTTCTCCATCTCCTTGATGGATCACACTTTTGTTTTCGCCTCTGATCCGCGATGGAAGACGCGCCTGGATCATATCCCTTCGGCGTCGCCAACGCCGACGGTACCCCCCTCCAAATTGATCCCGAGAATCCTGCCGTGAGGGGCATCAACGAGTGGCCATGGGGTCCGATGAGCCCGGGGCTACCCCCTGTGGCCTTTCGCCCCTATTCTTTGCCCCAATTCATGGACCGACCGGGCCCCTATCCCTATCAATCGTCATCGTCATCATCCCGTGAAGTCTCGGGCTCCGCTGCCAAAGTCGCTATTCCCCGCACGGCCAGCTCAAGTAGCCAGTCACAACGCCGGCGGTCGGCGAGAGCCTGCGAGCCATGTCGACAGCGGAAGATCAAGTGTGATGGGAACAAGCCGGTGTGTCGACAGTGCATCGATCACAATGTCAGCTGCTTCTTCGTGGATGTCAAGCGAGTCCGTGATCAGAAACAGCTCGGGATTCTGGGCAAGAAGGTGGAACAATATGAGCATCTGCTGCAAGATCTGGAGAAGGAAGTCGATGAGAATGCGGCCAGACGCATTCGTAAAGTCCTTAGGGTAAGTCGCGGTGCCTACTGATTGGCCTATACATTGCCAGTATCCCTTAGTCCTTCCTTGTCATATGCGGTCGCGCGATGTAGGATTCTATCTAACTGTAATGGGCGATCTGAAAGGGCACCGATATAACATCTCCTCCCGACGATGACGGCGACTCCGACTCTGGGACCTCGTCCATCGGTTCGCTAGAGGCACTCGACTTAGTTGAAGAAGACTTGAACCGCAGCGAGAAAACGGTGGCTATGGGCTTCTATGGGAAGAATTCGGAAGTCGCTTGGATGCAGAGACTTGAAGATGAATCTGAAATCTGCAACCGGAGAAAGGACGATTCGGTCGATATGGAGGACAGGGTAGGAGGTGGGCACGCGACGTCATCGCAGCAAAAGCAGGAGACAGCGATGGCAGCAATGAGTTATTACCTGGATGATATCGGCGTCCCTTTACTCGATTCAGTTGATCCATATGCATTGCCCCCGAAGGACATAGCTGATCGGTTTTTCACTGCGTTTATGGACTCGGTCCATCCGTCATTCAACGTCGTCCGGAAGACGGCCTTTGTGTCCCAGTATCGACAGTTCTTCAGCCAGCCGGCCCAGCCTCCACAGCGTTGGTTGGCCATTCTGAACATGATATTCGCAATTGGATGTCGGTATACCAAAGCGACGACTGGCCGAACAGACGGCCGCGATTATGATGATCTGGTGTACTTGAACCGGGCACGCAAACTGACTCTCAGCGAGAAGTTCATCTTTGAGCATGCGGATCTTCAGCAAATCCAGGTCGAATTTCTGGTGGCCTTGTATTTTGTCAGCATGAGTCAAATAAATAGGTAAGTTTGGCCCAGGTAGGAGAGTTTGTTAATCACTTGCTGAAATTAGTTCTACTGTAGGGCGTTCAAATTCTCCAGTATGGCCTTCCGATCTGCTGTATCCCTGGGAATCAACTTGCGCTTCGTCGACGATCGCACACAGTATCCTGCCAAAGAGGCCCGCATTCGGCTGTGGTGGTCGATATTCCTCTTGGAGCATCTCCTCACTGCCATCACCGGACGGCTCTCTTGCGTGGGCGAAAACCTGAGCGCCACGCCACTGCCGCTTCCGTTCGAAGAGGAGGCGTTCGGTAGACCAGACGTCCTTCCTCTTCTCCAAGACTCTTCCCTGCGCATGACTCGTTTGAAGCTGACTCTGCTGCAGTCGGAAGAGGAATCACGCGCCGATGTAAGCTGGCTCTCGTCCTGCGAGCCCAGCCCATCGCTATACTTCCACTGCATTGTGGATCTAGCCACCATCACCCAGTCCATCATCAACAAGGTATACAGTATCCAAGGCCTCCGAGAGCGCTCCAGCCAGGTAGAGCAGCGGATCCGTAGATTCAGCAGCATTCTAGACATGTGGCTCAGCAAGGTCCCCGAAGCCTATCGTTTTAGCTCCGGGAGCGGCGACCAGCTGGACCTACCCAAGGAGCGTAGCGCTCCGTGGATGCGAGAACGCATCTCCCTAGCCATGAGCTACTACAGTGCCCGTATCACCCTTTGCCGTCCGTGCCTCACACATACTGGACTCGGGCCGGGCGTCGCATCCCCGGACCCAGCAGTTCCGCCGTCTGCGCGGGCAGGTTCGCGTCGCAACTCCGGCAGTCGCGTGCACTTCAACACTTCCATGGCGTTGACATGTGTCCGCTCAGCTCGGTCCCTTCTCTGCTGTCTCCCCCCCAAACCGGACATCACTTGGCTGACTACTATGACCCCTTGGTGGTGCATTATGCATTACATCATGCAAGCAACAACAGCCATCCTTCTTCACCTATCCAGCCTCCCCTCCAGATCTGACGACGACCCCATGCACCAACTCGCCGCCGATGTCGAAGCCACAGCCCAAGAGACCAAGAAAGCTCTGCGCTGGCTTCATCACATGGCCTACAAGTACCCCGCCGCCCGACGTGCTTTCCGCCAATGCAACAGTATCGTACGACGGATTGCTCCAAGCTTAGGCATTGATATCAGTGACATACCCTGCGGCAAAGACCTACCTACTGAGGACGATGCGTATCATTTACGAGATATTGACAATACCCCGAATTCCCACGATACAGTCATGGAGTTTGAACGGCATCATTGATGATAAAACTTGTTTTTTCTTCTCCTTTTGGCACTTTTTCAATATTGAACTCTGACTTGTGCACGGCATCTTCGGGCTTATACCCACATCTTGGCGTCTTTACCTTGATTCTAAGCTTCTAGGATACGATACGATACCACCTATTTGTCGTCGTCGTCGTCGTCGTTCGTCGTGCCCTTTTCACTTTTAAAATTCTTACGGTTGTGATGATGTGATATGATTTGATTGATAGTGTGTTGATTCGTTCTGTTTAAATTGGCAAAATTACATGTATTACTAATGTCTAGCTATCTATATTAAGTAGACCAAAATTGATAATGTATTATTATAATGATTAGAAGCTAGCTATGCGATTCTTGACTACGTGTCCCTTCACTAGTTTTCTGACATAGTAACTAATAATCCCTCATCCACAAAGCAAGCCAAGTAAGACAGACAGACAGACAAAACCATGATCAAGAATAATACCGAAAGATGAGAGCATTTGAAGATTCCTTGGTTATACATATGAAATTTATAAACTAGACTACATGTGTAGTAGTAGTCCAAGGTACATATTGTATGATACATGAATCAGTGGAATGAGAGTTTTCTTTGGGATGAACTTTAATTATATTTGGGATGGTTATGGTATTCTGGCATGTGATTTGGGTGGCTAGGTAATCGGGTATAGTTAACTGGAGGTATATATGATATATGAATGAATGAATGAATGATGTATGGAGATGGAGATCGGAGATGGTATGTTTTGGATGAGATTTAACAAGTATGGGAGTTGGTAGTTGAGGTCACGATCTTTATGAATGTGTGTTTGATAGGGGGGTTTTTTTCTTTTGGGGTTGTGTTTTGAGGGTTGGTGGAGCTGCTAATTTAGAGATTATATTGGAGAGGGGGTTGGTTTATTGTTATACATGTAGTACCGTGTTTGGTGGATAGTGTACATATACTGTATAAGATGCGAGATTTAGGTTAGTTATAATAAATATTGATGTATTCATATGATATGTAGATACTAGCAGACTTTGCATCATAGTAGGTTGGGTATGGGTGCGGAGATTTTCATCTTGGAGATGATATGTTATTGCATTGTAGAAAGGCCTTAACCAGAACCTAGGTTTGGTGCTGAGCATGTTCAGATTAGAAGAAAAATCTCAGGATCTGGCCTGAATGTCTATAGGTAGTATTGTTCTTAGATCTATTAGGTTATAATCTTGGACGAAGTCAATGGCGATTTCCCCCTTATTGAACTCCAAGGTAGCGAGGAGAAGGTCGGACATGATGAATCAGTTCTTGAATGTATAAGTAAGGCAATGGTTTATAACTAAAGTTACTCTCTATAACTGGCTATTCAACGCAAGTAACACAACAATGCTGAGAGTCTTCATATAACATCAATCAATTTCGTAGAAGGTAGGTATTAGTAGTTTTCGAGAAGCTTTACAACCCCCTCATGGTCATATATGACTGCCCATTCCCGAGGAGTCTGGTCATCCGAACCCTTATAGTTAACGTCCACCCTTCCTGTGTCAAGCAGAAGTTTTACAACTTCCTCATGGCCATGTATGGCTGCCCCTATTTCACGAAAAACTTGCTGGACTTCTTCCTCGCCATTACCACCTAGGTGAATTATCTGTAGTTCGGTTTCCAGCTCCCGAAATCGATGCTCTATGTGAGGATACGGTCTGCTTTTGTCATCAAGAATTTCAACTTCCGGTCCTTGTAGTGTCCTTGGTAGAACATGTTGATAGCTTCGATAAGTTCATCCCGATCTCGGCACTCATCCAATGCATCCAGAATGCAAATAATTTCTCCCGCTGTTGCCTGAGCAGAGACCAACATGAGTATATCCCATAATATGTGGAACGACTGGAGAAGATTTTCGCCATGATTATGCACTCTATTTACATCCTCATCTGATAGAAGCTGGGGCTGTGCAAGAAATATTTGGTATGAGATAGATGACAGTGCACTAACTGCACTTCTTCGATCCGGGAAATCATCTTTAAAGAAGAAATAGCACACGGTCTGCTGCTCATTGCCAACTAGGACCTCATCCACCAGGTACCTTGTTAGAACGACTTGCCACAACCGGGATCAGCTGAGATCCATAGTAGACCGGCGAGACCGTGACTTGAACACTGTTGCCAATTAGTGAATTTCGGATGCGTTGTGAACCATTCACAGGTTCTGGGGACTCGTCTATCATTTCTGTTTTTCCGGTCCTCGTAAGGACAAGTGTCGAGCAGATCTAAAAATCTTTCTACTCTCTCGTCTCGAGAGAGGTTGAACACTGCGCTAATAGAATGCAGTGTCAGCTATGCTTAGCTTATTATGGAGAATCAAACAGTGAACATGAGATTTTCAGGCTTAGAGAATGTTAGTCTTACCAAAGGTATATTGAATGCTACCATCATTGGTCCCAGCCTGGCAGCCAGAGTTTGGACCCTCGACTTCAACCAATATCATTGTGGAAGCAGACAATAATAGAATTGGTATGAAAGACCATTATAAGACAAAGAGCGCTAAGTGGATGACAAGTCAGTCACAATCCAGCCCCCACTGTCAGGTGACGGAGACCCGCAGCTGTGCTTTAGTGACTACTTGATTCAGTCTACCTGGCTAGATGATCTCCGATCATGGTGTTCCTGAAAGTTGCAAACAAGAGATGGGTGGTTGGTAGTGTAAGTTGTGATCATGGTCAGAGACCAAATAGGCGGTGGCGGAGGATCAGGTGATGCCTGGCAAGAGTGAACGTCTCAACAGGCAATTCTATTGGAATACCGAGGCAACAAACCGGGCACAGATAACTACTTTATCTACAGTAGATGTTGGAGTCAAAATTAATGTACGTACTTGTTATTTCATTTCATGTACCTGAACTTAACTTAATTGCAAGGGGCTTAAACGAAAAGTATAAACGAGGTAACAAAACACAAACGACTTGCAAAAGACACATACAACTGATGCAAGGGCTTAACATAACATGACTAACTGAATTGGGGTTATTGGGTTACTCGATCATCATGATAGAAATGGAACCGACAACACGCGCACAAGCTATTTGACAAACAAGACAATAAACTGATCGGCAGATAAGAGGAGAGAGGCTCGCCAGAAGAACATCCACAAAGATGATAGTGTTGATTGATGATGATGATGATAGTGGTAAAGCCAGGAATTAAACAGTAAACCATGGAAGTAACAAAATTAGATGGACGGCATCAGTGCGTTTTCGTGATATCTAGAGGGTAAAACAAAGCAGCTAGACAGGCAAGTACGATTCAGCTAAGAATCACATCTGCTGGGGCATTATGAAGGCCCGCTTGCGCGGGTCGTCGTCCACAGGCGCACCGCGCTTCTGCGGCGGATTCAGAGTCATTGGCTCAGGATGTTGCGGTTGTGCGTGGGGATGGAGATGGGGATGTAGCTGAAATTGGGCGTGAGGATGGGGGTGAGCCTGAGGATGATGAGGGTGAGGATGACCCTGCGCTTGGGCGTGCAGCTGATGAGGCTGCAGTTGGTGATGCATTGCTGCATGTGGTTGGGCCGGGATTGGCATTTGACGGGGCTGTGGCTGTGGCTGCTGTTGCGCTTGTGTCTGTGGTTGAGGATGCATTTGACGGGGTTGCGCTTGAGCCTGGGGCTGGGGTTGAGCCTGCACTGACCGGGCCTGAGGCTGTGGCTGAGCCTGAGCTTGTATTTGACGTGGTTGAGGCTGAACCGGTGTGTGAGCTTGATTCTGAGCCTGCATTTGTCTAGGCTGCTGTGCTTGTGCCTGTGCCTGCTGCGCAGCTTGCCCAGAGCGGGACTGCGACTGCGGTTGCGCCTGCTGTTGCTGGTTGGCCTGGGTATTGGTGTGAGGTTGAGGTTGCGCTTGGAACTGATGTTGGAGTGCCTGAAATTGGGCCTGGCTGGACGTATGCATCTGATTTGTGTGAGACTGCGTCTTAGACTGGCCTGCCATTTGGCCGTGCATCTGTTGAGGCTGCTGCGGAGTGACTTGGAATTGATGGAATGACTGGTATGGTTGTGAAGGCTGTGCCGGTTGCGGCTTGGACTGGGGCTGATTTTGCGCCTGTGATTGTACCGAAGACTGGGGTTGGACCTGTGAGTGCTGTGGCTGCTGTAGCACCTGGCTCTGGGCTCCAGCTTGATTTTGATCAGCCTGAGGCTGTCCACCTGCAGCAGCGGCGGCCGCCGCCGCTTCAGCAGCCTTTCGTGCTTCAACATCAGCCTTGCGTGGCCGTCCACGGGGCCGACCAGTGCCTGGCTTGGACGAAGGCTTCTTTGGCGGTCTAGGCTTGGGAGGCACGTTGCCTTGTTCTGACTTGCGAGGCCGCCCGCGACGACGCTTTTGGGGAATAGGATTCCCGTCCGGACCGATAATCGGTTGCGGTGGTGGTGCGGGCGCAGGAGCGGGAGCTGCAACTGCAGGTGTACCATCAGCATTAGTTGTGGGGGCTGGAACCACCATCGTTGTGCCATCGGGTGCTGTTGTTGTCACCGTCTGGGCCTTCTTTGGCTTTTTCGGCCTGGGTTTCTTTTCTTCGCCTGGCACAACGGGCTTCCTTGGACGACCTCTCTTTTTCGGCGTTGGCGTGGCAGTATTTGTTGGAGCAGCGCCAGCTGTAGGAGCAGCCCCTGCGGTGGCAGGTCCCTGGACTGCACTAGATGTACCAGCAGGAGTGAAAGTGGGGCCTGAACCAACACCAGATACTGGAGCGGGAGCGGGAGTAGGGCCCGCAGCAGAGACCGGAGTAGGAGCCGGATATCCAGCTTGAGCTTGCCCATTGACCTGCGTAGCCTGTGTAGCGGGCGTAGCCGGGGACGCAGAAGGCTTAGACTGCTTCTTGCGTTGCTTGGTTCCAGTACTCTCAGGCTTCTCCTGTGCTGGAGCAAGGAGCTCCGGTCCAGACATGCTAGCGGACGCAGAAGCATGTGGTTGGTACTGCTGCTGAAGCTGTGCCTTTGCCTGTGCAGGCGATGGTTGCTGCTGCTGT